CATCTGGCCGCTTGTAATCGGTATAGCTCGGCCTGGCCCCTATACCGTGGTCGCTTTGTACACGTGTGCCTCAACCTTTCCCACACACGGGATCAACTAAGTCCTAGAGGAGAACAACACAACGTCCACTCCAAGGGACAACTTCCCAAGGAGGTTTTTTCAACAAATTGGGCTCTTAGAGCACCACAACTATCTCAATCCACACAATGGGATGAGCAACTTCGAAAACATCTCCCCTAGTCCTAGTGATCAACAACTCATCATCACAACTTAATCAGCTTAACAACTTAAACAACATACAACTTTTCAACTCATCATCTCAATCAACATTCAACTTGAACAACATAGTTTATCAGCACAACAACTCATCAACATTGTTTAACAACACATCTAAACAACTCAACAACTCATTTCAACTTTAAACAACACAATATTAGCTCAACTCATAATTTACAACTCAATCATCATAAGGTAATCTCTTTTTAACACATGGCACAACATACAACTTTATAGCAACATACAACTCTATACTCAACATGCATCTCTTCATTTCACTTTCTAATCATCATACATCTCAATGTAATTATACAACTTCTTATTCAATTATACAACTATGCAACTTTAATAGATTTAACAACATGCAAACAACTTAATTAAACAACTATAGTCATTACACTATCAACTTAATGCAACTTAACAACTTTATAAACAACTTCAGCAATATACAACATATTTAAAATTTATCTATCATGTCAACTTACACAATATTAACAGCATAAATCAACTTAAGCACTCAACAACTCAACTATTTCAACAAAAGAACACCATGCATAAAGCTTCCCTAACTCTCCTGAAATTAAACAACTTACATTCTAGCTTCCCTCACCTGAAGATTGGCTCAAAATAGCCAAGAACGGAGAAGAAGCAGAATTCCCTTTCCGAAGCTCAACACGGGACTTCAATCCACCCAAAGCAAGCTTCCTAATCCAGAGTCATTCTCTCTAAAAATTCTCTTTAAAAACCTCCATTTCATCAACTGCCCACAACCTCTATTTATAGAAGTCTGAACTGGCAAGAACGGCCCATTCCAAATCTAGAACGACCCGTTCTAGGCTTCTTCACACTAGTAGAAAATAAGTATATTACGTCACCCCTTTTACGTCGGAAATACGAAAATCCGACGTAAAAAAAATGCGGTGGCATTTTTGTAATTTTTGCGAACTTTTTTACGTCGCACCTGGTTAGGTCCGACGTAAAAAGTCCAATCTACGTCGCACCTGGGAAGGTCTGACGTAAAAAGTCCAATTTACGTCGCACCCTACCAGGTCCGACGTAAAAAAGACGCAAATTTGAATAAGAGAGCGCGAGGCACACCGCGCGCATTCACTTTTCATCACTTTTCATTTTTTTCTCTGTAAACCCTCTCCCTCTTCGTTGTGTAAATCCCTCCGCCTCCTACTCCTTCGGTCCTTCCTTCCTTATAATTTTTCTATCATTCAGTCTCCGTTCATACGACAAAAACAAGCAGTTTGCGTTCATACGACTAAATGTGTATTTTCCTTCCTTATAATTTTTCGAGGTACCATCTTCAAGTTTGTGTTTTTCTGTTTCTGGGCTTTTCTATGAGGTTCTATGACGTAAATGATGTTTTTTTCATCTGTTTGTTTCAAGTTTTTGAAGCTGGAGATGGAGAAGGAAGTGACCAAGTCTACCTGAGAACGCGCTCCTGGGTCTCTCAAGCAGAACGGCCCGTTCTGCTTGCAGAACGGCCCGTACTCCATGGAGAACGGGCCGTTGTTCAAACAGAACGGGCCGTTCTCCAAGCAGTACGGCCCGTTCTGCTTGGAGAACGGGCCGTTCTGCTGCACTTGTTTTCTTTTTTTTTATAAATTTTTTATGACTTTTTACGTCGGACCTTCACATGTCCGACGTAAATTTGCGTCGGTTTTCGCGCCCCGACGTAAATTTACGTCTCCCGCTTCTACGTCGGACATTTTTCTGACGTAAAAACCCCTAAACTAACCGACGTAAAATGTGTATTATGTACTAGTGTCATCATGTGTAAAATTCACATGCAGAACGGCCCGTTCTCGCACGTCTAGAACGACCCGTTCTCGCACGTCTAGAACGACCCGTTTTAAAATCAGAACGACCCGTTCTGGAGTGGAATTTAACTCACAATGACCATTTTGGAATGGCTCGTTCCAGTCCAAGATTCATAGGCCTATTTAGAAGCTTGGAACGGCCCGTTCCAGTTTGGGAACGGTCCGTTCTGGGTTACTAAATCACCCTTATTTTATTAGTTTGGAACGGCTCGTTCCAATCCAGGAATGCTCCGTTTCAGTCTACTAACTATGTTACACCAAACATCTTTGAAGATGAAGTCGAGTGTGCATGCATAAGTTTCATGGGTCGGATTTCATCTAAAGAGGAATCGTTAGGATTGCCTTTAGCATTTACGTGTGATTTTGGCTTAAGTTCCACATGGGTTTTTTGGATTACCATATTACCATCACTACAAGGAAAATACAAAATAGTGACTGAAATTAGCGACCGAATTTTATCGGTCGCTATTTTGCTACCGAATTAGCGACCGATTAAAATAGCAAACAAAATTTATCGGTCGCTGTTTTGCGACCGAATTAGCGACGGATTAGAGTGGTAGCGAGAAAATCGGTCGCTAAATCAGTCGCGCGACGGAATTAGCGACCAATTTTGAAAAAAATTATCAAACAATTGATTCGGTCGCTAAATTTTTTTTAACTAAAATTACAAAGTCAGGTTTTGATCCCTGGTTGTGAGGGTTAAGTGCCAACCACAATACCGCTATGACAATTTGATTTCTTAGAATTCTTGGGAAAGTAATATATATATATATATATAATACAAAAGCTTATGATTTTTATTATCTTATAATTTAATATTGGATTACAGAGCACTTTAATTCATATCAAAACTCATCTATTTGCAAAATGAAACACATATTTACACTCCGTAAACATCAAAGAACACAACATAAAACTCAGGGGATAAAATAGAAAACATTCATATTTTTCCCGTTTTCTCATAGAGTTTCCCATAGGAACCCACAGAGCACTCTAATTCATATAATAACCTATTCATTTTCAAAATTAACCACATACTCATGCATTACATCCAACAAGGAACACAACAAAGCATTCAGAAGGCAAAACAGTAAACATTCATATTTTGCTCGTTTTCTCACAGGGTTTCCTGTAGGAAGCCACAGAAATCTCAAATCATACAATTACAATTTTAAAATTGAAATTAATCATTCATTCAAGCAATTTATACAATTAATTACATACAAGAGGAACAATAGATGAAACAAATACAATTGGGAAAAACCCCTCATACATGAGCATACAACAAACACAGGATTGTAGGTCAATCCCACTACCTAACATACATTCCCACACCCAGAGTAAGGTTTCTCACTCTCCCCTTACCTGGATGAGCAGAAGACGAATGGTCTTGGTGTGATCTAAGATCGTTCTTGAGTACTCTTCCTTAGAGCTCTTTGTTTCTCCTCTTTTTTTCCCTATCCTTTCAGAACACAAATGAGCTTACTCCTTTCTTAAAATTAATCCATTGGACTGGGTCAACCCAACCCATTTTCCTTCTCTTCTAACCCACTTCTAATCTGTGACAGATGAAGTTAGCGTCTATACCTGGCATGTCGGCGCTGGACCATGCAAAGAGGTCGGCGTTCTTGAGGATTTCAGCTTCGAGCTGTTGCCGCAACTCTAGGCTCAACTGCATGCTGATTTTTGTGCACTGCCCCGGGAGTTTCCCGATCTGGAGGTCGTCGAGCTCGTCGATAAGGCTCGGTCGTTCATCATGGGAGTCGGACCTTGGGTCGAGGTCAGTGATATCCACGTGGGTGATGTGAGCCACTGTGGGAGGACCACTTCGGCAGCGCTCGTCGGGTGAGGAGACTTTCAGGCTTTCGGCGTAGCACTGCCGAGCTGTCTTCTGGTTTGCCTTGACGGAGATGATCTTACCGTCACTCCCTGGGAACTTCATGGTGAGGTGCGAGGTAGACACTACTGCTCCGAGTTGATTCAACGTCGGCCTCCCAATGATTATGTTGTAGGAGGTGTTGGCTTCCACGAGGAGGTATCGGACCATAATCCGCCTTGTGTCCGGAGAGGTCCCAAAAGTTGTCAGCAGGTCCACGTACCCTCGAGTGTGTACTCGCTCTCCTGCAAAACTGACTAGGGGCTCTGTGTGAGGTTGGATGAGAGAGTGAGGGATATCTAACCTGAGGAACATCGGCCAATACAGGACGTCAGCCGAGCTCCCTTGGTCAATTAGTGTCTTGTGGACCTCCCAATTAGCTACCTCCAAGGCGATGACCATGGGGTCATCCTGGTTGGGGCTGACGCCGGCATAGTCGTCGGTGAAGGTGATTGGCGGTGAGCTTTGGTGCGAGGCCGAGGTAGTGGAGTGGACGCTGTTGATATTGCGCAGGTGCCTCTTCCGGGCTGAGCTGCTGGAGCCTCCCCCGCGAAACCACCTGCAATTGTGTTGATTACTCCCCGTAGGGGAGTTGACCCTGTTTCCTGGCTTACCTCGGCTTGCATTGCCCCACCGGCATTTTGCTGAGAGCTAGAGGATTGGTCAGTGCGGGCTCCTGAACCGCGACCTCTGCCTCGTCCTCGTCAGCCGAACAAAAATTTGAGGGAGCGTGGCCCACTTGGAAGGCTGTGGATGAATCAGTTCGGGACATGTGGTTCGGAGAGTTTCAGGTAATTAAATTTTGTTTAATTTAAAATGTGTTGCATGTAGTTTTTAGTATGTTTCCTAATTCATTTTTAATGCAGAAAGAGTATAAGTGGGATCCACAACATGATCGGGCCACACGAAAGACTTTTGAGCATAAAGGATCAACTCTTCTGAAAAATGCTATGCATAAGGTTAGACTAGGTGTCGATAAGGGAAATTGGATCCCTGAAAATTCTCGAGCTATTTTGGATCAACATTGGGCTTCTGAAAAATTCCAAAACAAAAGTAATACTGCTAAAGGGAATCGGGCTGTAGAGAATGGAGCAACAGCCTACACTGGTGGCTCCATATCTGCAGGAGCCCACTTTGAAAAATTGGTAAGTTTATTTCATTTTTTATTTATATTTAGTTCAATTTAATATAATTGATTGGTTGAATTGCAATATTTAAATTTATATAGGCGAAGGAGCTAAATCGTCCCCCTACTGCTTGGGAATTAGTGGAAAAGACAAAAAACTTAAGACTGGAGAATGGGTCAGTGATAAAGCCCGCAACATTGCTGTAAGTTCCTCTCCATGTTCTGTTTTATTCTGTAATTTTTAAAATGTTATTGAGCTTTGTAACTTAAAGTAGTTCACTTCATTATTTCATGCTATATATTTTCTTGTATCGATGTCTTGATATTTATAGGCAGCCTTTGAAAATTATTTGTTGAATGGTTGTGAAGAAATTCTGTAATAGTTAATCCTTCATCTTGTTTTGTTTGCCTTCTTTGTTTAAGATAAGTGGTTGTGAAAGCATTAAATGTTTATTCACCAATTGGTCACCTTGGTCTCATAAAATATACTACTTTTTTTCTTTTTGTGTTGCATATCTAGTAAGTGTGGTTATTTTTTGCTAGAATATAAACTTCTTTCCTGAATAGGTGGCACCTTTTTCAGTTAGTCTATCTTTTTATACATTGTAAACATGGATCCCAAAATTGCTTTAGATGATTGTGCTTTTACACATGTATTTAAGACGAACCATGCAATTCATAGCAAAAGTATTTATTGCAAAATTATTTCATCTGTCTAAAACCCGACCCTAGCACAATAAGATGTGTTTATATGGTGTATAGTCTTTTGATACTGTTATAATATTTTCAAAATCCTTTTAGTTTCTTAACAAAATGTGATCGATGTTAGTACCTAAACTTACTTTTCCTCTATTAGGATTTTTAATCTCTACAGTCAAGTATCTTCATTAAATAATGACATCATAGTCATGTTAATGACTGCCACAACTCACATCATCAATTATCCACATATAATTATTTTTTTTACAAATTATATTTTTAGTCTCTTATCTTTTCATAAATTCAATTTTAGTTTGTTTAACAATTTTTTGATTGATTTTAGTTTCTTTATTTTCATGAAATTTACTTTTAGTTTTTGAATAATTTTTTGACCGATAATCTCTCAATTATTATTTGTCATTTAGACTCTCCTATCAAGTAATATTATTAAAATATACCTCAAACTAAAAAAAAACTGTATTTATTTATTATGACAATTAAAAAAGCCATTTATCTACCTCAAACTGAATCTTAGAATATGAAAAAATAAAAAATTCTCAAAGAAAATAGATAAGGATTCATGATTTGAAATGTCATCTACATTAAGAAATTGGACCACAGAGGAATTCAGCAACATGCTGAAAAAGAGTTGAATGATTGCTTAATTTCTTTTTCTTTTTTTTAAAGGAAAAAAGAGCTCCATGATTGTATTTTTAACATTGTTCTCATGGAATGCAAGTAATATGCACACCAGTATCTGCCAGTCTACCTAACCAGCAACATTAAACATATTCATACTAAATAATCATTTTGAAGTATAATTATAGAAAGGTTACAAATTATATCAATTAAGTTTACTAAAGGATAAACTACTACTAAGTCTCTGCATGTGCGTGTGTTTAATTTTATAATATAAAGCCCGTAACAAACAACTTCCTTGAACTCCGAATGAATGGATTTGTAGTCTGAGTGTTTGACACTACAAGTCATAATACAGACAACTTTAAGACATGTACTATTTTTATTGGTCGATACATATTAGAAATTACTATTTTTTTGAGTATTGTATCTATAATTTGTGATTCTGATTAGTGGTAAAATTAACTAAAATTTATGATTTTGAATCAATAATTAAAAGAGTGTTAGAGTGAGTGTTCTCTTCCCAATTCATTTTATAACCCTAAGAAGGGTTTAAATATATCAGTTGTGGATTTTGTTGTCTTGGAATTATATGCTGAATTATTTGCTGTAAAATAACAATTATTTGCTGTAAAATAACAATTATTTGTTGAATTAAAATCAAGGAATATGTTGTCTTGAAATTTTTGTTGAAATAATATTTTTTATTTTTTTAGGAGAAATATAAGGAGCGTCTAATTGAAGTCAAGCAACAAGCTACACAGGATGACACAGAGGGCTCAGCTTCTACTTGTATTAGTGATAATGAAGTTTATTTGTAGGTGGTTAAAAAGAATCCGAAGCGGAACTTGTATGGGCTTGTTGGATTGACCGATGATTTCGTTCGCTGAACATTTCCACAATCTTCTATGTTACAGCCATCACCAGTCACTGCAGGGGTGATAGAAGAAATGCAAAATAGGATAACTAAATTAAATGTTGAGCTTGCTGCAAAGGAAGCAAAGGAAAAAGAATTGGAAGAGCATATACGACAGCATGATGAGCAGATGCAGTATATACTACGCCATCTCAACATTGACCCTTTAAGGCCAACCCCTCCTGCACCGAGTACTACCCCAGATGATCCTGACCATGCTGTTGATGATGCTCTTGATGACATAGCAGAAGACTCTTAATTAAGCTTCTTTATTTTACTTGTTTTAGGATATTTTATTGTATTTCACTATTACTTTGTTGAAGTTTAAACGTTTTATGTTATTATTGTGTTTTTAGCATACTATATTGACATACTTATATTTTATTTAGTTTTCACTATAATATAAATTTACATCGATAAGATTATGTCTTTTAGTATGTTCTAGTTTATTATTATAAATTGTGTAATAAATATATTGTTAATTTCATATTCGTTAACAGGTATAAATT